TATAAAGACTGGTGGAATGATGAATGAGTCATCCATCAAAGCAAAAGAGTGTTTACTTTCCAATCCACTGTTTCACGACAAAAGAGTATTTGTTGGATACTTCTCAACAGTATTCCTGTGTAACATAAAAATAATCACAACCCATAAATATATTGTATATAAAAAGTTTCAGTTTTGATTTAAATATCATTGTTGGATCAGATATTCTTTTGCATTGGGGCATTTCATCTTAATATCTGATTCATGCTCCGCTGCAAAAGCTAAAGTTGATAAGAGTGCCCTTTGACCTAAGTTTGATGCTTGTTTATGATACCCAGATACTAGGCTTCCTGAAGATTGATGTGAAACAAACGGACGAGTAAGATGTTAGATTCGAATCAGACTTCTGTATAAAATTTTGTATATTGCTCTTATCAAATAAATTACACACTTGGTCTTTTATAGACCCAAATAACTTTTACAATTCTAAAGCATAAACATAAACATAACTACTACTAATAACTATCATAACTTATAAAACTTTTGCCCTTCCTACTACCATACTTAATGTAAAACTTATTACTAACACATTTAATGTTTATTCAACAAAACTCATCTGTAAACTTAAATGTTTCTTCCATCCAGCATTCCTATCATCTTCTTGCCTTTGTCGAAGACTTCTTTTGATAGTGGTTTTGTAAAGATATCCGCTGCTTGGTTTCTGCTTGCTACATGCCTTAATTCGACGCTTCCCTCCTTTACATGTTCACGAATGAAGTGAAATCGAACGTCTATATGTTTGCTTCGTTCATAATTCACTGGATTCTTTGCCAATTCGATAGTTGATTTATTGTCCACTTGTATTATTGTTGGATCTTCATGTTTCAGCTTCATCTTGCTTATCAACCTTCTGAGCCATACTGCATGACAGACGCACCAGGATGCTGCCACATATTCTGCTTCACACGTCGAAAGTGTCACTATAGGTTGCTTCTTCGATAGCCAAGTAAAAGTTGTGTTTCCCATGAAAAACACATATCCAGCTGTGCTCTTTCGATCGTCTATGTCTCCACACCAGTCACTGTCAGAATAACCAACTAACTTGTAGTCTTCTGTCTTTGAATAAAATATTCCAAATGATACTGTTCCTTGGATGTATCTTAGAATTCGTTTCAGCGCCTTCCAATGTGTGTACTGGCTCCTCCATGAATCGACTCACTATGCCAACACTTAGTGAAATATCTGGCCTTGTGCATGTGAGATATCGAAGGCTACCTACCAAGCTTCGATATTTGCTTCCTTCGACCCGTTCCCCTCCATCAAACTTTGACAGCTTTGTACCTGGTTCCATTGGCGTCGAAGTTGGATTGCAATTCTTCATTTTATATTTTTCTAAGATTTCCTTTGCATACTTTTCTTGTGATATGAAAATTCCAGCTTCTTCTTGTTGAACCTCCAGACCAAGAAAGAATCTCATCAGACCTAAGTCTGTCATTTCGAATTCGCTTGTCATGATGCTTTTGAAGTCTTCGATCATCTGAACATCACTGCCTAGAAAGATAAGATCATCAACATAGAGTGCGACAAGTAATAAATTACTTCCATTTTTCTTCACATAGAGGGCTGGTTCATAAGGACATTGCTCGAATCCATTCTCCTTGAAATATGTGTCAATACGTGTGTTCCATGCCCTAGGTGCTTGCTTCAGCCCATACAGTGATTTCTTCAGTTTCAACACCTTCTTCTCTTCTCCAGTTCTCATATATCCAAGTGGTTGTTCGACATAGATTTCTTCTTCGAGCACACCATTCAAAAATGTTGTCTTGACATCCATTTGAAATATTGGCCATTTGAACTGAGCAACTTGAGAAATGAGTAATCGAATTGTCTCCATTCTTGCAACAGGCGCAAACACTTCATCATAGTCAATTCCTGCTTTCTGTTTGTATCCCTTCGCAACCAGCCGTGCTTTGAATCTTTCGATTTCTCCTTGAGCATTCATCTTTTTCTTGAATACCCACTTTACACCAATGGGTTGACTACCTTTTTGTAATTCGACTAGCTCCCAAGTATTGTTGCGTTCGATTGCTCTAATTTCTTCGTCCATGGCACTTTTCCACTTCTTATCTCTTAACGCTTCTTCGACACTGATATTTTCAGCATCTGTCAGAAGACACACAAGATGCACCTCACTTGTTGAATCATACAAATCTTGCAAACTTCTCATTTTGGGTTGTAGAGGTTCACCTCCATCTTCTGTTTCTTCATGTTCTTCTGGAATACTTGTTGGTACAGCTATAGTTATTTCTTCGACTGTGTCAGCAACCTCTGTCGAATTGTTCCAGTCCCACTTGCTTGCTTCGTTCATTCGAACGTCTCTGCTCACGATCACTTTCTTGCTTATGGGATTGAAGAGCTTGTACCCTTTCGTCTTCTCATCATATCTAATGAATATGTACTTCTGACTTTTATCTTCAAGCTTTGTTCTTTGTTGATCTGGTACATGTGCATAAGCTATACTACCAAATACCTTGAGATGAGAAATTGTTGGCTTTTGTCCACTCCATGCTTCTTGTGGTGTTTTGTCTTCTAACTTTGAATGTGGACATTTATTCTGAATATAAACAGCACATTGTACTGCTTCTGCCCAGAATTCTTTCGACATGTTCTTGCTTTTGAGCATTGATCGAACCATGTCAAAAATAGTTCGATTCTTCCTTTCAGCCACACCATTTTGCTGAGGTGAATATGGTGCAGTTAGGAATCTCCTTATGCCTTGTTCTTCACAGTACTTCACAAAGGCCATCGAAGTATACTCTCCTCCTCTGTCAGATCGAGTTGCTTTGATGTGTCTGTCTGTTTCCTTCTCCACCATTACTTTGAACTTTTTGAACACTTCTAATACTTCAGATTTTTCTTTCAGGAAGTAGACCCAGGTTTTTCTTGAGAAGTCATCAATGAAGGAAATGAAGTACCTTTTTCCACTGAAGGATTCTGGAGTGATTGGCCCACATATGTCAGTATGTATCAATTCGAGAATATGTTTAGCTTGATACTCTTCCTTCCTTTGAAATGAGGTTCTTGTTTGTTTGCTGAGCACACATTCTTCACAGAATTTTCCTTCGAAATCCATGTCTGGTAGTCCATGCACCATGTTCCTTTTTGCCAACCTTCTCAAACCAGCATGATGTAGATGACCAAAGCGCATGTGCCATAGTGACGCTTTGTCTCGCACTTCGATTTGCAGACATCTCTCTCGAATGTTCCTCAGGTTCAGTTTGTACATTCGATTTCTTTCCATTTCGACAGCGGCAATCAGATATCCTGCTTTGTCCTTCAACTGCAGTGTTTGATCTTTCATCAGTATCGAAGCACCTTTTTCTGTAAGTTGTCCCAGACTTAATATGTTGGTCTTAAGATCTGGTACATATTAAACGTCTTCGATTGATCCAATCAAGCCATCCTTATGCAAGTAACTGATTGTGCCCTTTCCTTCAACCTTCACTTTCGATGCATCTCCAAAAGACACACTACCATCTTCAATTCCCTTCATATCTTTAAACAGGTGTTTGTAACCACACATGTGATTACTTGCTCCTGAGTCAAGATACCAAACACTGTCATTGGTGTTGATTTCGTTTTGAGCCATCAGGAGAAAGTCTTCATTCGATTCAGCTTCCAAGGCTAGATTGGTTGTTTCTTCAGTCTTCTTTTCAATTCGACAGTCTTTTGCAAGATGTCCCACTTTGTCACAGTTGTAACATTTGTAGGAGTTGCAATCCTTCGCGTAATGATCATACTTCTCACACTTGTAGCATTCGAAGTTGGAATGATTCGAACGACCACCTCTTTGACCATGTCCTCTGCCACGCTAATTTTGTTGGCTCGAATGTCCTCTTTCGAAGTTGCTACCTCTACCACTGTCACGACCTCCACGTCCACGTCCTCTTCCTCGAAAGTTGTGAGAAAAGAGTACCTTTTCGTCTTTGTTCGATTCCTTGGTTTGGTTTGTTTCTTCGTCTGCTTCTTCTTTCTTTTTCATCTTTCGTTTTTCATGTGCTTCGAGCGAACCAGTGAGCTCTTCGATTGAGAGCGTCGAAAGGTCCTTCGACTCTTCTATTGCACACACAATATTTTCAAACTTGTCTGTTAAAGATCTCAAGATCTTTTCAACAACTCTTGCATCAGCTACTGTCTCTCCATTTCTGGTGAGTTGATTCACTACCTTTTGCACACGTGTGATGTAATCAGATACAATTTCTGTATCCTTCATCTGTATCCTCTCCAATTCGCCACGAAGAGTTTGGAGTCGAACTTGCTTCACTCGATCTGCTCCTTTGAACACTTTTTCTAACGTGTCCCACGCTTGTTTCGACGTAGTCGAACCAGCAATCTTCTCGAAGCCTGATTCATCTACAGCCCTGAACAACATGTATAATGCCGTTTTGTCCTTCGCTCGCGTCTCTTTCAACGCCTTCGTTTGAGCTGCCGTAAATCCCCCAACTTCTGTTGGTTCTTCAAACCCATCATGGGTCACCTCCCACGCGTCTAGAGATTCAAGAAGAGCTTTCATTTGGATACTCCAGTTTTCATAATTTGACTTCGTTAGCCGTGGTAACGGCATTTGATTCATCATGTTTGCCATGAGCTCTGATGCCAAATTGTTAGATTCGAATCAGACTTCTGTATAAAATTTTGTATATTGCTCTTATCAAATAAATTACACACTTGGTCTTTTATAGACCCAAATAACTTTTACAATTCTAAAGCATAAACATAAACATAACTACTACTAATAACTATCATAACTTATAAAACTTTTGTCCTTCCTACTACCATACTTAATGTAAAACTTATTACTAACACATTTAATGTTTATTCAACATAAGAAGTGTGACTGAGGTCATATTTGAAGTCTGAGAATTGTCAGACACCTTTTTTACCTCTTGAACCGATTTACAATGGCTGTGTTCCCTCACAGAATCATCGGTTGAATCTTTCTCTAGAAACTTTGACTTCATTCATCCTACTATGGATTGATTTTTATCTGAAATTTCATTATGTGAGAATAGTGCAGTTTGCGGTAAATTTTGTGCAGTGGATTGAATAGAACTTTTAAAGCTGCAAACAGAACCTTTTCCGAAAGAAAGAAAGTTAATTCCCTTGGGCGTGACAACTGGAAATTTCTTAGGAATTTCTGCAGTATTTTGACTTTTATCTGCACATGTCCCATTGTGGACAAGACTTCCCTTGTTTGGGGTTATTGTGTCTTGCTTTGGCGTACTAGATGATAAGTTAGCAACATTTATGAATCTAATTCCTTTGGGTGCTGAGGTAGGCTTCGTTTGCGAAGTTTCCACTCCCTTAGAATTGGTGAAGTGGTTTTGTTGGACAGAACCAGTGCCATGATTATTCAGTGGCATTCTGAAATTTGTAATTCCTAACGGAAGAGTAGACTTCGACTCTGGTTTGCAAGCATTTATAGGCGTAGGTATACATTGGTTGATTGGTACCTAAATCAGAAAGAGCTCATTTTAATCCAAGTAAGTGAGAATAATTATACGAGTGAAATCAAATAAAATAGGATGTCAAACTCGTACCTGGTGTGAAAACAAACAAACATGACCTCTAGAACAAGAGCCATTAGAAACAATATTGGAACAAGGATACTTAGAGAGTTGGTGATCAAATGCGCAATCATCCCCTTTCATACAAGAGTGACGAACAAAGTGAACACATGTCTGCAAAGTCAAAATCAATACATTGGACTTTGTTTCAGGAACAGTATCATGAGAGAATTTGCATTTGTCAGCCTGTCGAATGTTATCAAAGCAAGAGAAAAGTAAGAATTACTTGACTATTTTCAATAAATAGATTATATATACTTACATGTTTTATATCTAAAAACGCTCAAACATACAGACATTGCACAAATTGCAAAAATATACTACTCTTACAACAACAATATTGATGGGCTACCGTTCAGTTTTCACACAACCACAATAAACTTATTTCCAGGGTTTGGATGAATTTAAATGTCAAATTATATAACAAAGATATCAGTTACCTTATCAAAATTCAAATAGTAAAATGAAGCAACAAGACTAGAATAACGAATTCTCCTATGCAACGTGTAGCAGTACAATGAAAAATAATAAAAGACATTTAAAACTAGAATAAAGAAGACATGATATAAAGTCAAAAATAATTCATGGCTTAATATAATTGACTTCATACCAACCTCATTGCACCTTCCTTTCATATAATCATTACTTAACCTATTTATCTAACCTAGTTAAACATTGCATTAGTTATTACACTCAAATTTAACGTGTTAACGTATTCATTCCTTACAATTAATATTTCAACTTATTGATTTCAACCCTACATTACCTATTGAATCCAACACTACAATTAATATTCCAACATATTTTCTCTTTAGTTTTGCACGCATATTGTCATGGAAATACACCAACCTTTAGAGTCTCTATATGGCTCCTTCATTCAAACTTCAGTTGCCTCTTTCTATTTATTCTATCCTTATTCACAACTTTCTATTTATTTATATCCTCATTCTTAGCTTACTTCAATTTCTTTCATTCCAAATGCTTCAATTTCTTTCATAAATTTCAAATCGATTGAGTTTTTATGGTGAGGGAAATCAACAATGGTGGAGATCGATGGTGATGGGGAGGAAGGCGATGAAGTGGTATGAGAGAGAAGAATCTGAGTTTATAAAATATCTCACGTTCTCTCTCTTATTTATTTATTTATTAAAATTGTTGCCCTTAATTGTAACTATCTCCCTTTGAATGCTTTTGTTTTGACTTGGTATATGAATCTCTCATTTTATTTATTTATTTATTTATTTATTTTAACTTAATTAATCAATCAAATAATATTTAATATTTTAACTAACCTCGTTATAAATAAGATAGAATATATAATTGAAGATAAATAACGAGGTTTAAATATGTTTAATTGAATTGCAATATGTTATTTATATATAGATTATAAGAGTTATAATTAAGAAAATAGTTGATGTTATACCATTACATTTTAATATTTTTATGATCGTATAATTGGGTATAATTATAGAGAAATACAGAAATAAAACTATGAAAATTATTGATGTTATACTATTACATTTTAATATTTTTATCTCACTGTTAAAATTATATTACTATTTTTAAATAATGTAAATACATGAAAAATACACATAAACAATCGAGTATAGTGCCGTAGCAATAAAAGAGCCATCATCATTAATAGTAATAAATATATATTTTAATGTTTTGATTCTTTTAAATCTTTATATGGTTTCTCTCATCATCATTTATTTTTTGCTACTAAACTCTTTACTCAATTGTAAGGATGGTAAAATGGATTTGGTCTGTCGAGTTGATCCAATTGACTCTCTATTTTTTGTGGGTTGGGTTGAAGTTTTTGATTCGGTATCTCAAGTTAGTCCGTCTCGTCTAACCCGTTAAAAAAGAGAGTCGAGCCGGGGCGGATCAGGTTTTGCCCGCAGATTTTTCATTAAAACTTTACTCTTTTTATTAAGAATTAAAACAATTTTAATTATAAAAACAACATTTATCTCTTAGAATTGTATTATAAATTATTATACAGACAAATTAAATTATAATTGTAACATTCTTTCTATAACTTTCTAATACATGTGTTGATTGAAAATGATTAAAATAAAAGAACAAATATATAACATGCATAATTATTAAGTTTTCAATCTATTAGTTAAGATGTTTTCTTTAGAAATAGATGTTGATGTTATGAAAAGGAATGATTTGATTAGTGTATACATGTGACAAATTTAGGATTTAACTATTAAAGAATCGGTCAATATAAGAGTATATATAATATAAACAATGAGAAAGTTCGGTCTTGATATTTTACGCATTATTATTTTATGCACTGTGATGTTTTATGCAATGTTATTGTTATCTTTGTTTGTTGGTTTTGTGTAAATTCTAAATTGAGTTCTTTTAGTAGTTAATTTTTAAATAGGATAGGATTATATGTATTGTTTATTTATTTTGATATTTTTTATTGTGCTTGAGTTTATTTTATTTTATTTTTGTTGTAATTAGTCTTTATTTATTAAATTTTTTGAATTATTTGGACTTAAGACATCTTAAAATTCTATTATGCGTTGTTAAAAATTTTTCTTTATCGACCTCTTTGGTAATAATTAAAATATTTCTAAATTATGTATTAAATCAAATTATAAAATTAATAAAATAAAAAATTGGCAGGTTAGCCCATCAATCCTCCAACTCGTTAGTAAATGAGATAAACTTGACTTTTGAGCTCGGACGCTTACATTGATCCGCCCTGCCCCGTCTCGCCCCACTTTTAGACAGACTCAAATGGGATGGACCTAAATGGACGGATCGTCCGCTTTGCCACCCCCTACTCAATAATGACGCTTCTCTCATCATCATGAATTTTTTTGCTCTTAAACTCTTTACTCAACAGTGAAGGTATTCGATTATAAGTATTTCTCATAGATTTTTTTTGCATTCCACATATTCAAAATAAATAAACAACTCATATTTACAATTCAAACTCATCAAACAATACTGAAAGAGTGGCAATCCAAACTCAATCTTTTATATTTTTATGCTTTTTAATCTTTCTTTTTTATACTCAACCTTTTAAATTTTTATGCTTTTTTTAATCTTATTTTTTTACTCAATCTTTTAGAATTTTATGTATTTTATAAGCACATTGATTATTTCTTAAATATATACGTCGGGAAATTTTATGAGATTCAATTTTATTTTATTTTTGAGATTCAATTTTAATTAATGAGACTTAATTTATTTTATTTATTTGAGGTTGTTCTTAATTAAAGAGATTCAATTTTATTTTATTTTTTAAAATTTATTTTGAACTAAAATCTTTTGACCATATTATTTTGTTTCTATAAAAATGATTCTATGATTTTGTTTTATAAATTTTTTAAAATATTACATACTTGATGTAAAATCATATATAATATTATGATCTAATACAAGAAACAAAAAAGTTAACTTTTTTTTAATAAAAATTTAAGATACTTTATTTTTATTTTAAATCTAATAAATAACAAGAAATACTTATTTAGTTTTTAAATTTAATTATATCAAAATTTTAACATTAGCTATATTATTAACATTATTATCAAATTTGTAAAATATACACTTTCAAATATATACTTTAAAATATATGTGAGTAAAATATAATCTATGTTAATAATAAACATTTATTACTATTATTCCTTATTATTTAATAATAATAATAATAAATTTTCGAAATGATATGAGCTTTTATTCCAATTATAACAACTAAATATTCCACTATTAACATAAATATTGTTAGTAAAATATAATCATGTTAATACTAAAAATTTATTATTATTATTCCTCATTATTTATTAATAATAATATATTTAGTATTATTACTAAATATGTGTTAATAATAATTATTTCTATTTATAGGATTTATTTTATAAATTTGAATTGAATTTAACGTTGAATTAGACCAAGAAAAATAATTAAATTATGATGAGAGTTGAAATTTTAAAATTATTATTATTATTATTATTATTATTATTATTATTATTATTATTATTATTATTATTATTATTATTATTATTATTATTGTTATTATTATTATTATTATTATTATTATTATTATTATTATTATTATTATTTATTATTATTATTATTATTATTATTATTATTATTATTATTATTTATTCTTATTATTATTATTTATTCTTATTATTATTATTATTATTATTATTTTTATTATTATTATTCTTATTGTTATTATTATTGTTATTATTGTTATTATTATTGTTATTATTATTATTATTATTGTTATTATTGTTATTGTTATTATTATTATTATTATTATTAAATGAATCGAAATAAATAAATATTTCGATATTATTAGATTGCTTCTCCAAAAAGATTTTATTTCAATTATATTTTTAAATTGCTTCTAGAAAAGAGTTAAAAATTTGACTTTTATTTTCATTTTTAAAAGGATTTAGTTTTTTGGTTCAATTTTAAAAAATATAATTTTTTCTTTAATAATTAATTTTTTCTTCAATAATATTTACTATTTAATTTCTTCTTCAATAATTAATTTATTTTTGTTTACTTATAAAAACAAAATAATATTTCTAAGAAAAATAAATCTTAACTGAACAAAAATAAGAAATTTATCATTCAATTTCTACCACTAATGTCTATATTATTTTCTAGAAAAGGTAATAATTGAATGACAATTATGAAAATATTAATTGAATGATAATAATAAATGATATTAAAATTTTAATTTATAAAAAAATTATTAGTATTATTTTTATGATAAAATGTTATCACTTATACAAAAAAAAATTATAATATTTGTTTTTGATAAAAAAAACAGAACATTAATGATACGTGGTGAATAAACAAATTTGATTAGTTTTGATCTTATAAAAATTGATTCAATCTATTAAATATGTTTTTTTTATAAATTTATTTAAAACATTATTATAAACTTTATGAAAAATTTTTATTTAAAATATACACTTATGACGAGTCGACACTATTTAATTTGTATATCTTTTATAAACATTTCTTAATCATCATTATACTATATTTATTTAATATTTATAATGATATTGCACAACAATGCAAACACGCGAATAGATAATCAATTTTATATATGTGTGTGAAGTGTACTAGACCCTATAGTCATATATTTTTTAACATGATATATATACTACTTCAACTTAATAAATTAAATTAAAATTTATGTGACAATCATCATTGAAACATTTTTCTTTTCTTTTAATTTATATATATATATATATATATATATATATATATATATATATATATATATATATATATATATATATATATATATATATATATATATATATATATATATTATATTTTTTTTTAACCATAAATATATAATATTTATTTAATATTTATATAGACTTTACATGATCCGTGCGAACAGACAATTCCTTTACTAATTTAATGGTAAAACAAGTAAAAAAAATTAACCCTAATATGTACAACTATTATTTGTTTTATTTGTTTCCAAGATAATCGTTTCATTTCCCAAAACCCCTTTCTCTTCTGCTTATAGCCCAATGCATTTTGATTATCTTCTGACTCTCTCTCATCCCTTCCACTAGTGTAAACGAAAGCCATTTGTTTTGTTCTTTTGCTAGGGTTTGGGATTCACCATTTT